AGAGGAGTCGATACGCTGCTGCTTTCCTAGCTCGAAGCAAGCTGCTCTCTGGAATGAGGCGCCCAGCTTAACCAGCCTTGCAAAGCGCTGCTCAAGGGGAGGTCGCTCACCCCACGCCTATCTCATTACCACTGTTCATTTCCTCCCCTCCTGTTCTGTTGTGTTGAGGCAGAAAACGGTGACAAGCAATCCAGGTCAGTGCTATGGAAGCTACACCTGGCCTAACGCCCAGCTGTGCTTTCATGCATCGATCTCGACTTAGAAGAGGAACGCCAACAGGTTCTGTCCAGCTGCCTGCAGCTTGACGTGCTACCTGAATGCCCTTGCTGCACACCCAGCCCATCTGGTGGGAGCTCCATCATACGCCTGGGCTTAATATGCCACCTCCTTTGCCTCTGAACAAACTTTTGGAAAGAAAAAAGGGGCTCTTTCCTGCCTGCTTTCTAACACGCCATCCTGATTAAAAGGGAAGTGATGCTGACCATCTTCAGAAATGTCTGTTTGCTTATTATTTACATTTTTGTGCCACTACCATAGCCCACAATCAGGCTCCCTGTGCGCCTTACCACAATTAAAACAGCAACATTCTAAAATCAGTAATGCTAAAAACACTAACAGAATATCAAGAATGCAAAAACAAATCCTAACAAATTAGAAGCATTACATCAAATTAAATTCAAATAGACAACCATAAATAAAATAGATTTCTAAACCAGGGTCATGTTAAAAACAAGACTAATTTTAACAACTTTAACTTAAACAACTTTAAATTGACCTGTTCCAGAGACGGGGTCCAACCACCGAGAAGGCCCTTCTTCGTGCCGCCGTCCCTCTCACCTCCCTGAGGGATAGCACCCTAAGAAGGACCACCTCACTCGATCTTAATGAATGGGAGGAAGGCAGTCCTGTGCACTTTCTGTGTACACACAGAGTAGTATATACACTTGAAATGGGTCAGATCCACATATTTTTGCATGCTGTGCAGAAAACACTGTATCTGACTCATTGCAAGTGAATGCATGATATGATTATTTATTTGCCTGTTTGTTTAGCCCTTTTGTATACCATCTCGGAGCCACATGGCTCTCCAGACAGTTTACGTAAGAAAAAACCAACAACTTAAAACATCATAAATGACACAATTAAACACAATCAAGACCACAATATCCATAATAAATAAGATAACATCATAGAAGGAACACCAAAAAAATAATTTAACAACAGATTGTAATTCTCTTAAATGTCATAATTAATACAACTAAAATTTGCATTAAAATATAATTAAAATAAAATTGGTTAGCCAAAAACACCCCTCACCCACTGCACACCCGAAACTGTGTGTGGAAATTGCAGTGTTGTTGAACAATTAGTTTAAAAGTAGTATCTGGAGAACATTGTAAGCCTAGACTAGAATCTCTTTTTGTGATCTTCTGAATAAGAAAAGAGCTGAGATGGTTTCCTTTAACTGCAAACTAGAAAAGAAACAAGCACGTGTTTTATGCTCCGGATGATGAAATATTACTGACCAGTTCACACTGGATTAATGTATAAATGAATGACAGGCGTATGCTGCACCCATGAACTATTCTCATGGCCACTGGTATTTATAAATGATTTTTCCAGGAAGAGGGTTGACTGGAAAAAAGTTTAATAAATAACCTTGCTAATTTTTTTACCTGTGCAATGTGTTAGCTGGGAGAAAACATCTTGCTATACCTCTGTTTGACGACTCACTTAAGCAGCGCTAGATAAAAACGTTTGAATTAAAAAATTTGGCTGAAGTATTTATCTGAGATTGAAAGTTGAGCAGGATGTGGATTCTTCATCTATCATCTCAGGATGAATTTTGATAATGTGGAAGACTGGCAAAGCTGTTCAGAGCTGCATTTCGCGAGCACCTAAGCGTAACCTGTAACTACAAAACTGAAATAGATCATGAGAGAGTCTCTTTTGGCAAGAGCGGTAATATAGTAGTTTCTTTCCGATGCACTACCAACTTTCACCAAACCACCTGAGCAATCCTTGCATGTTGACTTGGAAGTGACTGTCACAGTCTGACCAAGCTTGGCCTGATCTGTGGCACGCAGTGTACTAGCTAGGTAAGAGTACCTGGCTTTGAAGCCTAAAAGAGTGTGATCGCCCCCTCTAATGCGGGAGTGGCAAGCTTGCAGTGTTACAGCTGCCATCGTCCCTCTTCTCCATTGGCTGCGTTGGCTGGGGATGACGGGAGATGCAGTCCAGCGTGCCTCAGAGGACTGCAAGTCATCAGCTCTTATTCTAATAGCAAATCAGTGTGGACCAGACGGGAGCCAAAATGGCCAGACTGGGAAACATGAGGGAGGCACAGCATAGTCAGGGGATTCCTAGAATTTGCAGGTGTACAAAGACCAGCTTTCAAAATGAGAATATGACTACCCCAAAAGTCAAGTGAGGACAGAATGTGCTCACTGGCCATATAATTCGCCTGGCGCCAACTTTATGTGCTTTCCGGCACCAGGTAAAAATATTTTTATTTACCCAGCATTTTAAGGCTTCGATCATTTGAATTTGGTCTTATTAATAATATCCTCAGTTGCATTTTATCTTGTTATTTAGTTGTAGATTGTTTATATCTATTGCTTATTTATATTTTACTGTAAGCCGTCCTGAGACCATTGGTTGTACAGGACAGGATAAAAATGTTCAAAAGAAAGAGGAAGCAAGGAAGCTAGCTGAGCATCAGTAAGGAAACGGGAGAAGGAAGCATGAAGGGGTGATAGCAACCCAGCACAGGAGCGGTCCTGTTTAGAAATGCAAGGATACACAGCAACTTCTTGCTGCAGATCCCACTTGTAAAAAGACGCAACAAACAAGATACTGTAATAACATATATTAGCAAGGAGACTAGACCTAATCTGTGGCGGCTGGTGGCTGGGAGGGCAAAGGACGAGGCACTTGAAGAGGCAAAACCAAAGAGTCAGCTTAGGCAGTGCCTGTTCAACACAGTGCAGGAGGAGAAGGGGTAGAGGAGGAGAAAAGTTGCTATCCATGCATTGCAGGAGCAATTTAAGGCAGAAGATGCTACACTGCAGGAAGATGGCCAGACGAGTTTTTACAGGAGCAAAGTTTGGACTTCCACGCAGCATAACGGTCCCGTAAAGCATAAAAGAAGCGTGAAACGATTCTCTAGCAGAGTTGTAGAGGACCGTTAAATTTGGCCACTGAGGTACGAACCAAAAGAAAGAGAGTACCAAAAATAGTCAAGGTGGTTTGAGCATAAGCACAATTTGAAGTTCCGTATTGTTAAAATACCTTTATTAGGCCAACGAAAAGATGAGAAAAAACCTGCAAGCTGTTGAGATTGAGATTCATGTTGTCATAGGCAGGTTGGTCTGGGTGGGTGTGCTGGTGCAAAAGTAAAAGAAAAACACAGACTAGATGGTGAAGTTTTTTCTGCAAGTTCAGACAAGTCGCAAGGAGGAATGTTAAAGCAGTAATCTCCAGGGAGTGAGATTAGGCTCATCTGGTTAAATAATGGTCAAAGTTGCACATTTAAGCTGGAGCAACTCTGCAGGTGCCTTGCAAGGAGAAGGAAATCTTGGGGAGCACCCAGCAGTGTCTTTCTGCAAACCTAGATAGCATTAGCAGAAATGTTTCTGTTGCACAAGTTAGGCACGACTGGTTGTACAAGCAAAATGCACGATGGCACTTGCACATAAATTTCATAGGAGCCGACTGGAGCCGGGGGTCAGACTAGATGGCCCGGGAGACCCCTTCTGACTCGCTCTGTTCCTACGTTTCTCATGGGCATAGTTCAGAATCTAGTTTCTGCTAGAACAAACTCATTTGTCACTGCTGTGGGTTATAAAAGTTCAGCGATGAACACTGCATGTTCAGTAAGATTAAAGAGTACTCTATATATAATGCATATTTTAATTCACATTCTTAATATACTTTCACCTTTGTCATTTTTGATTACTGGGGAAAGGGGTAAAGACTACAGTCCTGCTTTGTACAAGATGTATTAGTACTGCCTGAATACTCAGCGTCGGGTCCAAAGACAATTCGTTCTGGCTGGTGGCTGTAGAATTATTTGCCTCCTCAGCGTCACCCTATTCTAGTGTGGCATTTTATCAAAATAACAGTAATGGTTCCAAACTTTGTGTAAGTTTGTTTGAAGGAATTGAAAACCAAACAAATGATAAGATTTTTATGGAGTTCCTTTTTGTTCATTTGTTTACACACACAGTATCTTATAGGAGTGTATACAATGTTGGCCCTCTTTGGAGTAGTCCCATTGCAATGAATGGAACTTAAATTGGGTTTGATACAAATTAATACATTTGATACAAATCCATGGAGTTTTATAGGACCTTACAATTTAAAATAGATAAAAGGATTTTGTTGACCTTTGCAATGTTACCTGAAATTAAATGCTGTGCTCCAAAAGGTTTCAGTGGTTGTACTGCTGTCCAAACTATCAAAGATTTGGAATGTTTAGGAAAATCCTTTCAAACATGAATCTGTTCTAATACCTCCAGAAATTATTGTAATTATTATTATTTATTCACTTCTGTACTGATCCTGGCCGAAGCTCACTGTGCGGTGTCCAGCAAAATACAAAAGCAATAAAAATACAATAGATAAAATGGTGAGAATTAAAAATTAAAAAAAAAACATGAAAAGACAATTTAAAAGGCTCGACCAAAAGTAAAAGGCATCTGGGTACTTCTATAGCCAGGAACTTGGCTGCTGAAATTTTTGCTTGAGGGCACTTAGGCAAGCTATGTGATATCCCTTTCTGTTAACTCTGTTAATTTTCTGTAGTGCTTTTTCTTAATAAAGTTCTGGTTCTAATATATCCCAACTGCCAGTCCGAAGCTTTGTATCCTGAATGTGTGCGTAAGTGCTTGCTGTTTAAGATGAATGCTGGATTCATATTTCGTGGAAGTCCGTAATGCACGAAATCAAGCTCTGCAGGTGTGCATTCCATATTTATTTGTTTTTTCTTTGTTTCTTTTCAGAGAGATCTATTCTGAGAGATGAGCTGCAATGCCCAACTTATATTTGACTGTCTATTCTTAAAACTGGAAAGGAAAATACATTATGGGTAAGTAAAGCTGCTTCTATTTCTTGCACCGAATTGAAAACCCATTGACTGGAAGTGTGGCCACATCTTTCAGAGGGGTTTAGAATATCTTACTGAACTAAAATTGTCAAGATTTGAAATCAGATTGCAAGGTAAAGAATCTGAATAATGTATAATATATTGACACATTAAATCTTAATGGGAAAGTATATGGTTTTATGTTCTATTAGTTCTATTTGACATGCACATGGTGGGCATGCTGTGAGCAGAGCCGGCTGGTGCCGGAGGTCAGACTATATGGCCCGGGAGGCCCCTTCTGACTCGCTCTGTTTCTATGTTTCTAGTCACTCTTAAAAAGGCTTCTATGCTTATTACATGTGAAGTACCCTTCAGATGGAGACATTCTAGAAGCTTCTGAATCCCAGGTGCTGCATGTATATGCAGCAGGCCAGGGGGAAGTTTTTTGTCCAGAAGGCAAACTGCAACGGGACTCCAAAAGCGTCTAGAACAGGGGTCTCAAACTCGTGGCCCGTGGGCCAATTGCCGGGACGGGGTGGGGCATGGGGGAGGGGCCCTGTGGCCTTCAAAGTGCCGGCGGCACCCGGGCCGGCCTCCGGATGAGCGGCCCACCACCACCGCGGTGGTGGAATACTTGATGCGGCCCAGCCTCACCCAGACTCTACTTCCAGCAGCCCCCAGGTCAGTTGAGTTTGAGACCCCTGGTCTAGAATATCTCCATCTGACAGGCATTTCCAAAGCAACAAATACAGAAGTCTGTTTGCATACCCACGGCTCCAGATCAGAGGCAGTACGCTATGCATACCAGTCATTTGGAGAACCTGGGTGGAAGAATGCCGACCCTGCTTGTGGAATCATGTGGGTAGCTGGTCTGCCACTGGGTGAACAGGTAGTAAACCTGCCAGGCCCTCGATCTGATCCAGAGTAGCCCCTCTTAAGTTGACAGGGACTGATGCGACGTAAAACTGTGCCATTCTCCCCAAGGACTACTAAGTTAATATTGGCACCCCGGAAGTGTGTCGGGGCCTGCGGACTAGGCGCGGGCAAGGTGACAATCGGTACCAAGTGGGGCTGCTTCCAGTCTTGCACACACCCTCGTCCACTTTACGGACTGACACTTTGCACATGTTCAACCCACAGTCCCCTCGCTTGCAGTCCACCCCATTCAAGCTCAAACTTCTCTCTACACAGAGAAAGGGGGCTGCCCTTTTCTCAGCCAAAAGAAAACAAAGCGATCTCGCCGTGGAGAAAGAGCTCTCTTCCTACACAGCCCTCCTCTTCGTTAGGAGAAAAGCAATCAGGAATGCATAGTCATTTAGCTTCTCCATGCTGGCTGTGTGGCTTGAGGATGCTGGAAGTTGAGCTCTAACGACATACGTCATTCCTCCTGTGGAGCACACTCAGTAGGCAATTGAGTTACGAACATTTATTTAAGCAGTTTGCCTTGCAGACAATCACAGCGAAGCCTTTGGAGAATGTCTAAAATCCAACCTGAGAGCACTGAAGATGGAGATGGGCTTAGGCCATCATTTGTGACTTGCTGAGTGGATGCTGAACGGCCTTGGTTCTAGATGAAATTAGCTAGCTTTGTGGTAGCCACTAGGTGGCGGTGTTGAACAAGGCATGGTTTTAGGGGCAAGCTTTTCGGAGCTTGTGGAAAGGTTAAGCCTTTAAAACCAGAAAAGGGCCTGCAGAAACGTTTGTTCATCAGGGTTATACTTAGAAAAGTTCTCAGATTTAAATGTAAGGTTGAATCATTTGTTTGATTCGTTTTTAAACATTCACTGCTTTTTATGCACAGCTTTAATGAACTGAATTTCCAGAGTGTAGTTGCCTTAGTCTGCTGCTTCTGTCCGTGGCAGTCCTAACTCATGCAGTTAAATACTACCACCAGGATATTTATTTATGTATTTATTAGAAGTATTTTATGCCTCTCAGCAGCTAAAAATGCTTCCAGAGCTGCCATTTGTGGGAGGAGGAGGAGTCTTAGCAAGAGAGCGCTGTAGATAAACCCGAAGTCTGCATCACACTGAGTGAGCCTGATGCGAGGGGCTGTATTCCAAATACGTATTTCCATCTTGCATCACCACAGACGCTTCACAGTGCTTTTGATAGTCCTTTTGCTTCAGGAATTAAGGAGGAAGAAAAATCCCTACCCAATGTGTGCGCCCACTTCAGACTTGTTTCATACACTCACAGCATGCGCCCTGCTTGTTCCTCATTTTTGTAAGATCAAAACACCCCACAGGTTAGCTCTGCACCCTTATCTACACCACTTCCAGTTCTGTTGGGGTGCAGCATTCAGAACTGTGCACAGCATTTCAAGTGTGGTTGCGCTCGAGAAATATATAAAAATATTACGATATGGGGAGTATTATTTTCAGTTTCATTCCCCATGATCCCAAACATAGAATTTGTCCTTTTCAGCATCTGCACTCTAAATCAGTGTAAGCACAGGGTGATCCTTCCCTGGTTGTGCATTACTAAACCAGTCACACACACACATTCTTCTCCCCCAATGCACATCTTTTTGTAGTTCTTATATTTAACTGCATTTACCATTTTAATACTATTCTCCTCGTTTACAGAGGTTGTATTGGGCCATTTCAGAATCCTCCCCAAAACCATGTGGTGTCTTCCTCAGGGTTGGTCTGTCTGCTTCTCCATGCTAATTCCCTAAACACAAGCCTGAGACTTAGTTCTCTTACACAACTGGGATTTACTGTTTAACAAGCCTACCTGTCTGGAATCTTTGAACAGAAACAGACCTATTAATTATGTCCTAGATGATATAAATAGACACGGAATTTAACTGTAGAATATTTTGTTTCTTGGAAAGTCTCTGACTGCACAGACTATTCAGGCTGCAATTTGGTGTTCACTGACATGCTGTTAAAGATTCTAAGGGAGAGGTAATGATGTCGGTGCCCGTTGTTGATTTGCGTCTGCCAGCTGATTTCTTGAGCCAGAGAATCACACTCTGAAAGGGACTTCACTCCAGGAAGATCCAGCTAATGGCATGACGTGTGGAAAGCAACATTGAAAAGGCCACATTGTAAGCCTTTGGGGCACAGACCTTTAAGTGTCGGTAGTTTTGGAAAGGAACTTCCTGTGGCTATTTGGTGAGGGTTCTGGAGTTGAACTCTTTCTCTCAAACAATCTGCTGCGTATTAAGGAAAAAGACGTCGGTTTGCTTGCAGCTGGTATACTCATTATGGCTTCAGTGCAGCTTCCCTGTATCATTTCATTAGCTAACTTTTATCACGGAAAGCCAGAACTTAAGCTGGACTTGACACAAGGTCGCATATGGAATTTTCTTGTACTTTCATGAGAGCATAATCTGAACCCTCACACACCAAAAATTCAGTCAGGAGGCGGACAAAGGGGAGACAAGGGAATACTTAGTGGAACTAATACAAAAGCCATATTTTTAAGTTCCTCCACTTCACTGGCTCATTTCATATACAGTAGATAGCAAGTTAATATCAAAGCCCTCCATGTTTGCCTGCATCTCTTCAGTGCTTGCATCTGAATCATGCCTTTCTCTGTGTGTCCTTCACGCCTCCAACCTTATCTCTTAGCCATCCAGAGGCATCTGGCTCCCTCAAGTGCCCCATCTCATGCTTCGGAACTGCTGCTCAGAACACCTGCATGACGTCACCTTTCTCCTTTAACACCCCCAATTTTCCACGAAGTCTTTGGCACAGTTCTCTAGCTTCACACTTTACAGTAACCTAAATTGTGTAACTGGGACAAAGGGACGTTTCCCCCCTTTGCCCCGGCATCCACTTCCTTTCACCGGCTCTGTTTTCTCTTCCATACTGAGTTTTATTTATGTAAAAAATTATATGCAGCTCTTCGTCACAATCTTTGCAAGTAACAATGAAACAGGAAAGAATGTTAGATACTAGTCTTCCCAGGGCAGGTCTCTTGCATTTTCTGATGCAAATCGCTGAACATGTTAATGGTGACATAATTAATCATAATCGATCTACTCCAGAATATTGGTGTCGAAGTAAGACTTGGTCCTGGGATGAGTCCAGACAATCTGCGGTCATGTTTGTGCTAATGCACGTGGGTTTAGCTAGGAAAAGATTGAAGAAGTGATATGAAAAAGGAGATGCATCTCCAAACCCCATTTATTTTTTCCTAAATCCCCATTTTTTTCTTATTAGCAACATCATTTATTGAACTTTTTATCCCATGTTTCAGATGGTTTACTGAACTAGTTTTCAGAGCCATTCACATCAGTCAGAAGGGGAGACCGGACCCTGCAGGCTAAGAAGACAAGGGAGGAGAGCGGAAGGGAAAGGGAGATCCATGTTTCAATGCCAGAACAAGATGTGGTCTATAAGAAGATATTTAAATTTGTTTCAGGCCAGGCCGATATTTCCATGCTGATGCTCTTGCTTCAAGAGCAATTGGTGCGCATTTTGCTGATGGATGCGACCAGAGTATTTTCCCTTCTTTCCACAGAACTCCCTGCACCTTCTCTGGCTGATGGGCACTCCAGGTTGGTCCCTGCCTTGGCATTCTGTATTCCGGGGAAGAGGGAACCTCCCAGTGGCCTCTGGTGGAACAGAGTGCCTTCCCTTCTGTTCTCCAGGTGCTGTTTGTGTCCTGTAACAAATATTTACAAAATCACATCTTAAGAATGAGAAAGTTACCCTGTGTCCTCAGCTACATATATCTAATACTGCCTAGACCTGAGCAGCACATTACGATCTTTAGCCAAGCAGCATGGGGCATTTCAGGAGTACTGAGGTGCCCACGCGGGGGAAGAGCAACAGGCACCCAGAGGGCAGAGTGGTCAGGCAGAAGGGCTGTTAAAAAGTAGAAACCGCCTCAAGGGGCCCTGGCAACTGTGCTTGCGTTCTTCTTCTGTCCTCCAAAGCAACATGGAAGCAACAGTGTGAGTATGGTGGATGTTGTGCTTCCTTGTTGTGACTCCAAGAGCTAAACTCTTGGAATGGAAGGGACAAACGGACCTGGAAGCAGATAGTTGAACTCCCGGGCATGGAAAGCATTCCTATTTGAAGCCTTGCTTTTATGGGACAGGGTTTTGTCATTCCCTTCTTCCAAGGATCAAATGTGGAAGAAGCGGTGTAGAGGATAATGGTGCGGTTTGGTTTTCCTGCCATGGTAGGTAGTGTAAAAACACAGAGGACAAGAGGGGATTGTGTGCGTATTCTGAATGGAGGTTCCTAATTTGGATGGTAGTTAATCTGTTTCCCAGCAGAGTTCTCAGTACTTTCCACACAGTATTTTCCCTTGCCAGGTTTCTAGCTAGTCAAATAAAGGAGGTACTTGGAATACTTGACAGCAGCAGGAATCTGGCAGACAGTATGGTATCGGTGGATTCCGCAGGTCCCAGGCCTGCCAGCCAGTCCCCCTTTACCTCCTGTGAAAGGACAACCAGTGTCCACCAGATGCGCTCTTTTCTTTGCCCTGATGCCCAGGCCTCTGTTTGGCGTTCCTTCTCACGCAAAACGGAATTCTAGGGTCAAAATGTCATGTGATGCTTAAAAGTGGCAGCGAGGCTGAGCTTTTTGGTAACAAAAATAAAACATCTCCATCTAAATAAGGATTGCCCCTTTTGCCTGTCTTTACCCAAAAGTATGCAGACGATAATACGGGTGTGGGAACTAAAATGCTTAGACCAAGTGTTAGCATTGCAAATGAATGAAAACTGTGATTCCCATAGCATGCATGAGAACTTGCTAATAAATATATAAGCAAGTTCTATTGTTGACCTCTTGTGAAAAGGAACACTTCTTTGCTGTCTCTGTGCATCGCTCATGTGGCCTCGGTACCAGCGTGGATTTCACACATCCCTTCCCTCAGCGCTCCCGCAACTTGGGGTGGTAACTTTGCCAGGGAGCTTCTCTTTGTTCAGCAAGCAACAATTCTGCAAACTCTTGATGTTTTGTTTTTGTTTGGCGGGGTTGCTCTCATCACTGCCTCACCTTTATTTTTAGTTTCTTTATTTTCTGTACTCCTTTCAAGCACCGTGTGGCACAGGGCATGAGGTCGCATGGGCTCCTTCCACAAGCAAATCCACGGGGAAAGTACACTGCCTCTCACAATGGCCAGTCTCTCTGCCCCCTTTGGCTTGAAAAAGGGCATCGGGCAGGCCAGTGCCCATCTTCTCCAAAGCAGGCCAAGCACAAGCAGTCTGGCAGAGGAAAGTCCCCGTGACCTTGGCAACCTGCTTCAAGCCTTCGATATGGATTTGCCACTACCGACTGGCTGTGCAAGCCAAATCTGAACAGGACGCCCCCTGCTTCTCCAAAGTCAGCTTGCTGCTTTCCATACGAGCGATGCACAAAGGTTGCGAAGGCAATGTGGCCGGGACCTGAAGCTGTAACACCGCCCCCCCCCCCCCACCGCTGACCTGTTTGTGAAGAGCAGCCTGCAGGTGCCTACAGGACCGGGACAGACCTGTCCGTTCTCGCACGGACTGGGGCCTCGCCCATCATGCAGCACAGCTGGAGCTCTGGAAGGCTCTCTCAGAGGCTTCCTTGGGCTGCTCCGCTGGATCCCAGAAGTGCAGTTTTTCCCCTCTGGTTTTTCTGCATTCTGCTTAGACGCCCCAGTCCTCTCAGTCCCGGTGGCCCAGCGGTGAAGGCCTGCCCTGCATCTCGCAGGCCTGCCCGACAGAGAGCCCGCTTACCGGAAGTGTGGTTCCTCAGGCATCAGCCTGCACAATCGCCCAGCCTTCCCCCGCTCGAGTGTCAGTCTCAGGCTTGTGCAGTGCAACTCTTGAGGTTTATCCCGAGTGTTTCTCTTGGTTCCAGGAGTACAGTGGGGTCCTAAGTGGCAACCTGCCAGGGAGGTGCGGACGCAGACAGTGGATCAGTGTTCCCGCTGAAAATCCCTCAGCTTCGAACTGGGGTCCCTGTGGCTGCAGTGCGTGTGTGAGTCGCACGAGGGGCAAGCATCCTGGCTTTTTCTTAGCACGTGTTAGTTGATGACAGAAATGGCGAGCGGAGTGGAAACTGGATTGCATGTTTCTCCAGGGAAGCTAGATGGCTCGAATCCTCAATTAGCCTGTTTCATGACAGGTTCTGCCATGTAGTTGCTTGTAATGTAATAAGAAGTATCTGTTGAAAAAGAAGCCTGTTTTCTGTAAACAAAGATGTGGTGTTGAATGGAGCCAAGTCATTTCGAGTCATTAAAAATGATACTTTGTTCCTCTCTCTTTTTTTTTTTACTTACAGGCATTTGGAACTGTAGCCATAAGTTGCTATTCATAAATTAGTTGCCTTTGTCAGTGGCTAGACTCTAAATGGATTTATGAGCAGATGCAGTTGGCTCCCCAGCTGTGGCAAGTGGAAGATTAATTTCTGGCATCTCAAAGGACTGAAACGGTTGTTGCAAAATGGATATTGTGATGGACATCTTGCCTGCAGTGCCAAAAAGCAGTGGGATTCAGTGTCATTAGGGTACACCTTAAGGAATGTCAAAGGCTGGGGTAGCTTTCTAGCGAATCAAACCAGTGCACAAGAAAAACAGTATATCTACTTGATGTGAATTAATGTCTACCACTTTTTCTAGTGCTGTTGCTCATCCTTGGTAGGTTGTATTACTGATGCTAATGCTACATCAACTAGCCGTTGGTCATTGAGACAGAGTATATAGTTTTGAGAGAGATCAAATCTAAAAAAAGCATCAGCTCTTGGATGAAACGAATGACTTGATTATTCCTGTTTGGGTTAAGACCTGGTCTCAAGATAAAATTGGCCTCAGTCAAACTGTAGGAGGGCCATTTCCAGGCAAGGGATAGGGGAGTGCAACTCAGCCAGGTTTTCTGAGATCTGTGTGTTTGTTCGTTTGTTTTGTTGCCCTGCTGGACCATCTTTATGAGTTTGGGGCACAATGTTGTGGAGAGTCATCTCTTCCTTGTGAAGCTAGTTCCAGAAAATAAAACTGGGTGGCTGTGACGGGGGACCTCAGGGTGCTATCTTCTCTCCAGTGATGTTTAATATTTATTGGCAGATCTGGAACAAAGTGCCATCTGAGTTTGCTGATAACACGCAGTTGTATTTATTTGTAATGTCTTCATTAGGAGAGGCTATGCACGTTTTGAACTGGTGTCTGCTTGCAGTCATGGGCTGGATGAAACTGAAAACTTTATTATTTATTGGATATATTTTCTGCCAGCTTGGCCCAGTGGCCCTTTAAGATCTAACAGAATCCTGGTAACATGGAGATTATGTGGGTATATAGTAGGTATATAGTTTTCAGGTCTGGGAGTCTGGTTGTTTACCTGACCTGGATGGACCGCCCTTCCAGAACTGGCTGTGCAGATGGGCACGACTGCTTCCCCTGGTTTCCCTTTCACTTGTCACAGTGCTGGTGCAGAGCAGGACCACAGTGCTTTGAAAGGTTTAAATTTTCCTGCTCATGCCAAAATCCCCCCCCCCAGAAGAGGAGCCTGCATTAATTCCATTTAACCCCACCACTCTTGACAGGAGGAAATTCAGGACAAAAACAGGGTGGGTGAAGCGTAAAGTGTCCTTTCCCAAGGCACTACAGTCCCAGTCTAAATCAGGGCTGTGCCCGATTGCAGGAGATTAGGGAAATGTGTCAGCGATTGGGTGAATGCTTGGCCCCCTCCCCAACAATGTGAGGGGATCCCACTCAGTTTGGGAGGAACGCTTCCAAGGAGATCGACTGAACTAGCAGATTAAGTTCATTGCTGGTTCCCCCCCCCCCCCCGCCCCCATCCTAATGTATGGAGTTACCTTTAGTATTTCTATCCTAACTTTTCGTGGCATATGTTCTAAAATGAATCAGTATTGTAAATAAAGAGTTTGTTAAAATAGCACCCTATGTACTTGCGAGAAAGTCGTACAGTGCAGAAAAATTTTGGACGCTCTAAACAGGCGGGGGGAAGGGGTCTAGAGCAGGGCCTCCCTCCACGTCCTTGTAATTCATACGTGAACAGATGAAGGCAGAAGAATTCCGCCAGCCGGTCATGAAGAATGTAATGGAATTTGGAAGCAGCTGGCCTCTGAATGATGTAGGACTCAAGCTGCGTGTAGCTTTATAGGTCAGCATCGCCATATTTCCAACGTGCGTTGACTGTACGTGTGCGCCTGGCACCCTGGCAGGCCGACACTGTCGCTCATCTCTCCTCAGCTATTTTAATCCTCCCTGCGGGTTTTCCCTTTTAAACCAGTTTCTCATACAATCTATTTGCCTTGCAGCAGTTCTCCATTCGCCATATTGTGTCACAAGCGATGGCTGAGCTGAAGTTTCCTGCATCCTGAGGAGAGTATGTATAAAAGGAATGGCCTCATGGCCAACGTGACAGTGACCTCCGCCACTCCAGAGGTACCCCCCTTTCAAATTCTGTAACAAAGATCGCCGCACATATTCCCATTTCTTTAAGCCTAGTGGCCACAGTTCGTCTGTTTATTTAAGGGCTAGTATAATACTTAAAACAAGCATTTTCTCTGTGAAAATTATAGTCCTGCTTGTCTGCAGTTCCTTCCAATATTTGGTTAAATATTTTTGTCAGGTGCTGTCAACTCATCTCCAACTTACGGTGACCCCATGAATGGACCCCCTCCAGAGGGTCTCTTCCCTGACAGCCCTGCTCAAGGCTGTCGCTTCCTTTATGGAATTGATCTGTCTTATATTCAGCCTTCTTTTTCTTCTGCCTTTCCTTGCGAGAAGGAGTGATCCTCCCTCGAGAAGAGGCAGTGCTTAGACCACCCTTGACCGAGAAGAGCTTAATAGCTTTCGGCCGGGGTCAAACTTTCCTTTCCTGGGCAAGGTCCATGAGAAGGTGGTGACCACACAGTGCCCTGCACTCTGGGATGATGCCGATCATCCAGTTACATTTCAGTGAGGGTTCTGGCCTGGTTTTGGCATGGAAACAACCTTGGGCACCTTGTATGGTGACTTATGCCTGGAGAGAGATGGCCGGGGGTGGTGGGGGAGGATGTGATGTTGTTGATATTTGTTGGTGGGGGTTCCTCTGACTAGAGGAAGGGTGTTGTATTCCCCCAGAGGAGCAGCTTTGTGGCTTAGGGTGCCTCCTGCCAGCTTTGGCGGGTGGCCCTGCTCCACCCCATCTGAACAGGGATAGCCTGGCTCCAGCCGTCTAGCCTCTCTAGTCTCAATTAGTGTGGGGCTGCCCCTGAAGACTGTTCCGAAGCTGCGGCTTGTGTAGAGCACAGCAGCCAGACTAATAATGGGGACCTGTAGGTCTAAACATGCAAGACCCGTTTGGCATGCCTCTGCCCCCCGCCCTTGCATCAGCTGCCTATACGATTCAAGCAGCTGGTTTTCGCCTGCTCAGCTTGGGACCACCATGCCTGTCAGAATGCCTCTCCCATTCACAGATACTGCCACACTCTGCCTCCGGGGTCTTTCTCTGAGTGCCAATTCCAAGGAAAGCTCGGAGGATGGCAACAAGAGAGAGGACTTTCTCCCCAATGGCCTGCCCTCTGTGGAGCAACTACCCCATTGCGGCCCGCCTGGGACCAGCCTTGGCATCCTTTCTGTACTCATTAAGCGCCCCTTTACGCGAAGGGTGCTGCAGATTCACTTAGCCATCCAGCGGCTTGAGGCAATTCACCATCCCAGACGATTTTCATTTTCCAGAGTCGTTTTTACTGTATATTCAAGCTGTTTAAATGTTGTAAGGCCGCTTTGGTTTTATGGTATTTTTACTGTGTTTTATTGTCTTGCTTTTATGGCTTGGTCTAAACCACCCAGAGAGCTTCAGCTGTGGGGCAACATAGAAATGAAATGCCTAACAGCAACAACATTTTTCAAGAGAATACGCTTCCCCTGCCTCAGTCGTTAACCTCCTTTGAAGTTCCGAGGCTCTCCTGAACCATCAGAAAGGCTTTTCTCATTACGGATTTGTAGGCAGGATGGAAAATGTGCTCCTCTATCTCACTAGATAGTCACATTGTCCAAAAAGGGTTTAGGGCACTCCCAGGAAAATTGCACTTGGTTCAAGAAGAACAGCAAGTGTTTTTCTTCCTTGGCTGCTCATTCTTTTTGTGCACATTTCCGAGGGCCACTCGCTGCTCTGCTGAATTTGCAAAATTGGATTAGGTACAAATTTAATAGATAATGATAGAACAAGTAAAATATATCTATCACCAGGCATTCTTGTTTGTTTTTCTGGCTTCTTAAATATTTGGAGAGATGTCATTTGGGCAGTTTTGTCAAGATTTGCTCTAGATATAAGATATTCTCTGCTTGTTCTGTTCTTAAAGAAAACACTATGCTGGGGCCCAGGATCCCCGTGGTATCCAATTTTGCATGCCAGAAATTACTTTAGGAAATTCTACTTTGGTTTTCAAATACTTGAGTTATAGCAGCTAACATTTAATGTCTTGCAGATGGAAATAATTTGGTTGTCACACTTTTGCAGACTAACAGAGCAGCCCTGTGCATTTTTACTTGGGAGTAAGTCCCACAGTGTATAAGGCCACTTACTCATAGATAGGTGTGCAAAGGATTATAGCCTAAACCTCTTTCCACCAACCAGTCTTTAAGTTCAGCATGATCAAATGTCCCTGTTATAGGAGGGTATGAAAATATTCCTATCATTTGTTAAATACAGCCATGATTTTAATTAAACTGAGAGCTTCAAAATGGATCCCTTGCTTGATTTTCCAGCCATTAATGCCTTTAGATGTATGTTCTTAATGTTCTGTGCTTAAGTGAGAAAAGGTTCCTTCTATCCTCCAGTTTTAAATAAAAACTCATAGTGGTTGAACAGGATCTGGAAGATCTGAGTTCTAGTCCCCACTCAGCCCCAAAGCTCAGTGGTGCTATTTTAACCCTTGAAGCTCCACTGACAAACTTTATTTCTGCAACCCATTGTTCTTAGGGAGATCTACTAAACATGTCCATTCAAACCCATAATACAAGGTTATGAAAATTGCCCTTTCGTCAGACTTGTTCACTTCAGATTTTTGTGGAACTATTTTTGTGGAACTACTGGGATCTACAGTGGGCATAAATAAGTAACTAAACCGCAACAGAAGTGTGCAGATCCAATCTGGTCAAAACTGATCCAATTTAGTAATCTAGTACTGCTCATAGAGATCTTGAGAATTAAAGTCTGCAACCTTCTGCATTGGCTGAAAAACAGAACTGGCCGCTTTTTTAGGGTTTCTACCATGAGTCCAAACAGCAGGAATGCACCTGCCTGTCTTTCCCCCCATCTTACAGAATCACTCTATGGAGAGGTCACAAAGATTCAATAGACGTTCCCTTCCTTTTGCAGCGTTCCTTCGTGATTTAGCCTCTAGGCTCAGATCCCCCCAATCTGAGAGGTACTTCTGATTTGGTAATTACTTGCCTATGTGACTTCAGTGGCTGATTGTAAATGATCGAACGCTAAAGGAGAATTTCAGCACATAAAGATGGTTTCTAAGTAATGGCGTAGAGAATGAGCCGTGACAATAAGAGCTTAGCTTAGTAGGGCGAGCTCTTTTGGACGTCTGCGTGGGATTGCAGCTGCCACTTTCTAAGCGGTGACCAGTCACTAAAGGACTGTGGCCCGACATCTCGTGCTGCCTGCCTCGAATTACCTTTGCAGATAGCTGTGAGATGGATCTGCGCCCCCTTGGCAGCCCCCCTCCCAACGGCTGCCACCCGGGGCCTGGCCTTTCACCGCTTCCCCACCGGCTGAGGCAGGCGTAGTTCTAAAAGTCGCGTGCTTGTAGAAAACTTCCTATCCTAGACTGGGCAAGGTATGGCTGGGAACGGACTAAATTAGGTCGCGGGGCTGAAGTGTGGTGCCTCTCAACACCACTAGGCCCATCGGTACTTTTTGGGTACTTCGCTTGGCAACCCCTGCTCTTAAATTTTACTTTTTGGGCATTTGAATTGGAAGAGAAGGACCTGTGAGAGTGGTACGCAACCTCATAGTCGTCACAGGGTTATCTTTGCCGGTTTTCCTAATTTAACGAAGCAAAGGCGTGCAGCTTGACTAGTGTTCTTCTTAATGCTGGGAAAACAAATGTAATAGTTGCCAGTAAGAACGAGTGGAAATTGTTTCTCTTCTGTTCACTGGTCGGGAGTTGAGGACCTCCCTTCAAAACAGATGCTTTAAGGAACTGAAGCCTCATTCCTTAAACCATACTGGTGTATATCCCAGTCCTTAAATCAGAGGTTATACAAATGTTCTTTTGCAATATCAGCACTCAGGTCCACGCCAGAAAAACTAGTTCAAAGAGCCTTTATAAACAATAAAAAATAAGGCCAGGATTAGTGAAAAGTAAACTGAGATGAGGCTCAGCTTTGCTTTTTTATTTGTGGATGTAACCTTTAACTAATCCACTGACAGACATCCATTTCCTATTTAACCCCTTTTATCCTCTCTTTTCATAGGGCAGCAGCAGTTCTGACTCTCTGGAAGGACGGAGTTCAGATTATGCCCATAAAAGTTACGATGCAGTTGTATTCGATGTATTAAAAGTAACTCCAGAGGAGTTTGCCGTAAGTAAAATTACTTGTTTTCACGTTAATATTAAGGTAATTCTAATCAGGTTCTCTTTCAAATCTCAGTAATAAATTGGCTCACAACAGCTTTGCCTGGAGCTTTTCTTGATCACACATCCGGCATTTAAGTCTTTGTGCACAATTGCAGCACAACTCTTGCTTGCTTCAGGGAGGCTGTCCCATGATACAGCCCCAACACCATGTTTGCTTTACTTTCCAAGGTGTGGGTTAGAGATGTAGCAAATATATTTATTTAAGCTATTTTTATCCCGCTCTTGGTCTCAAGAAAAGCTTCTAGAACAGCTTGCAGTCAACCAGTAGCAAGACAGTTCCTGCCCCCAGACTTAACACATCACAGACAAGGAAAAAGATGGGAGTGGAAGAGGAGACGATTAGCTAGGCGTTCAGCAGGGCTGGTGGAATGGCTCTGCTTGCCCTCTTTTCTTCTGGGGAACAAAGGGACGGATCCACTGGCACAGGCTGTGAAGGCCTTTTGCCAGCTCTTCTCTCCATCACTCCATCTTCTTTCCCACAGGGCTGTTAATGTTACGTAGCTCCAGGGGCCTGCAGCGGCCTCTGTCCGTCTCCGTTACTGGTGAGGTGTCGGCGCGGTGCCCGTGTCACCTTCCTCTTCTCGCTTTTCCTCCTTCCCTTCTGATGAAGCAGTTACTATAAAGGCGAGGCGTTTCCTTCCGCTTATTTTGATGGGCCTTGCCTCAGTCACCCGTGCACTGCTGACCTCTCTGCAGCAACCTTAGCTCTGCAGTTGGCCCTTGCTTTGCATGCATGAAGTCTCAGGTTTGACACTTCCAGGTAGGGTAGGAACAAATGCCTGCTTGGAATCCTAGGGAGCTTCTGCCGCTCCGTGTGGAGAATGAGGCAGGTGGAGCAATGGTACGGTTCAGTATCAGGCCGGTTCTGAACACCCTGGCTGTAGCTGGCTGTCAGGAGCTACCTTTCAAGATGGTTTGGAAACATAACATGTTACAGAATAGAAGTACTTCTCTGTAGGTCAGGAGAGCAAATTGGAATCTGGTACCAATATTGTACTGGGTGCCCGGCTTGCAGGCCTAATCAGTTTTGGGTCAGGTTATTTGATGGACAACCTTCACCTGCATGACCTGCCACACCAAATGGGGGAGCAGTCCCAGAGATTTTCTGGGGTGCCTGTAAGTGCAGTGAACACAAGGGACCCACGTTGTGGGATCTTGTCACCACTGGGGTATGAGAAATATGGGAATGTCATCCATTCAGGCTTTCAAATGGACCCTGAGGGCCCGTTTGTTGGAGCTGCTATAGGTGGTGTGGGGTTCACCAATTTTGGAGATGCCACCAATTTTGGGAATGGTCAGAGCCACCAGTTTCGTGCTGGTCTGATCCAACATGCCTTTTCTCACATTCATACCTTCTTACATGCTCTTAGTCAACTATTCGGTGCTAATGTTAAACTCATTTTACAGTAGCTGCAAATAGTTCTCATTATTTTTAGGGTTACCATGCAGGGCTGTTGCCGCTCGTCATTTTCTTGCTCCTGGAGTCTCCTACAGTTTCTTTATGATAATTTTGATAAGTTGATATTTTTAATTGTGGTGATGCAATGTGTTTTATATATTGGAAAGAGTGTTCTATTTTAGGAAAGGACATGCAATTCCTTTTCTGCCTTGAGTGTGGCAATAGATCTTTGTGGACTTTCATGGTCTAGACTGATGAATGGTTTCAGAAGATGGACAGTGTAAAAAAAGAGGTTTATAAAGTGATCTTATTATGGCACAAATGACTTTAAGAGTGTCCTTCTTTACAGCCACCAAATGAACTTAGGTGTGCTTCAAGTTTTCTGGAACATTGTGATATACAGTGTTTGCCCAGGTGTTATTTGCCAATGTTTATACAACATTTTGCCTTGGGCAGATTCATGTATTGTAAATGTAACATTGTTCTTTCTCTAACTTTTGTTACAGAGTCAGATTACATTGATGGATATGCCAGTATTTAAAGCTATACAGCCAGAGGTATGTGCCCTTTGATTATTTGTAGATGCTTGACAAAAATGGCTAACTAGGTAACATGTATATCCCAAGGGAAATGAGCTATTGATGCAAGTCCCAGAGTGTATTTAGCATTACACATCAAGATGCCTATACCAAGCATGTCAGTTCAGTGTGACAGTTTTTATCCTCAGTGGAAGATACAAGAAGTGTTTCTCAGAAGACTGTGTGCCTTATGGTTGTGACGACCTTTTGATTTCTTTTCCGATTTTTCCCCCCTGAATAAGTGCAATCTTGCCTTCCAGTGGACTACTGAAAATTTCATTTTCAGTTCTGGTGTATGTTCTCCCCACGCCCCATCGAATTAGGTCTCCTTCTGTTACTATGAAGAGTGTGTGCTTTCAGCCCCTGTTCTGTGTCCTTTTTGCCTAAACCCATCGTAACGTTTTTGCATTTGTTTGAACGCAGTGGTTTTATTGGTCAACATGGGCAGGGCTACAATTAACTGGGACGCCACCCCGACCCCTTTGCACGCCTGTCTTTTCAGTGCAGAGTTGACGAGTGGGTGTGGATGCTTCAGACAGATTCATCCCCATCACCCTCCTTAGATTATAAGAGATCGCTAGTCCTGAGAACGTAGGTTCTCCTCCCCCATTTTTATCCCCTTCGAGGAACGCACGAGAGGCAGAGGAGGAAACAAGATGAGCGGTGGGAGTATTTGATCCAGTGGGACTTGCTTTCTGACATGTTTGTAGACACAACTCTCAGGCAGGAGTGTCCAAGTGGGAGCTGTGGCAGGAGCGCATGGATGTGGCTTGTTCCTGCCCCTTGCTAATGTTTCTGCATATTCTTGATTGAAATATCCGATGCTCTCTGCTGTTGCTGCAGGAATTAAACCCCACTCCCAATCTCATACGGTCTTTCCCCGATTTCTACTTTACAAAATTTATTCTTTGCCTTGTGGGGCTGCATATTTGCAGGAAGAGCTTCAGGGGTAAACAACAGCTTTAGGTTACTTTGCAGGAAGATAATGTGGCGTGGGTGGGGGAGGGCAAACTCCCTCCACCCTGCAGCTGAAAGACAATTCTAGACATGGGGTTGCAAGATGTATTTAATGCTCTGTCTTGTTTGACGCTAACTGGTATGAATGGAAGAAGAACCTTATTGGATTAGATCAAAGGTCAGCAATCAACTTCCCGCAGAATCAAGTACGAAAAGCATTGTGAATCACTTTTTCAATAACCTTCCCCAAACATAATCACACTAGAAGTGACTCAGTTTAGTTACCAAACATTTCATATCTCGGGGCAAAGTGGGTTGTAGACATGGTGTCCAGTTCATTGATTATCTGGTGTTAAGGTTGAATAATGATGTGGCCAAATTGCTAAAAACACAAATGTATCAAACTGATGAAGGTCTCCGGAAAGTTACCTCCAAACTGGGGGGCGGGGGGGTCTAATAGCAAATGTGGTTCAATGCAAGCAAGTTTAAAACAGTGCACAGTACAGACAAAAATGTTCAAATAGGACTGAGTTGGGATTAAGAAGGACGGCAGACTGCATTCCGGACGATTTGGAGCCAAAAAGTGAAACATATTTCAGTGAGGCTGGGGAGGATGGGCCAGGTCAACGTTCTGAGATGCAGCAGGTGGAGGTGATGACCTCAAGGGCAGGTGCTTTGCTGATCCAAGCAGTTCCTGGGAAAATAGCCAGCGCAAGGAGTCTTGGAGGGTGGGGAATTTCCAGGTGTAGGCCCACCCCACCACCCCGCCCCACTGCTGGTGACCCCCATGGCAAGGTGTCAGCAGAGACGGGAGGTCCAATTGAACGAACAGCACCCAGAGAGAGGGGCGTGCTCGCCTTCAAAGAGCCCCTCCCAAGGGACGGGACCCAGGCATGTTCATAAGAAAAGTTCCTGGAGGTAAACACTAGATTGGTTTCAAGAAGCCACTCTGTGCATGCTCAGAGGTGTGCTCTGGGTGATTCGCACTTTGGAGCAATGAGGAAAGTTGCAAGGGAAACGGTCTGTGGCTGGAGATGGTTCGAAGGAGCCCCCTCAGCTCAGGACAGGCCGGGCCTGAGCTGGCCGTGACTGAAACTGGCACAGGTACCCAGTGCGCCACTGCTGCAGAAGTGACCGCATCCATGCCGAGGACAGTGCTTGGATGCAAAGCTGCATAGTGCGCCACACTGCAGAAGGGCAGCCAAATTACTGAAGGGGTCAAGTGGGGTTACAGTGTTTGGGGTTTCTTAGCCTAGAAAAAGGGCAAGTAAGGAGAAACGAGGAGAGGCGCATAAAATGGAAAAACTGGATGAAGAGGCGCCATCCCCCCGCTTGCAGGCCTGGTAACGGTAGGGCCTGGAATCTTCCGGCTCATTTGGGGCAAGCGAAAAAGTGCCTCTTCACCCAGCGTGCAGTTAAATTCGGACATTCCTTTCTGCAAATTCTAGTGCTGGCTTCCAACTTGTATGACTTGAAGAGAGGATGAGACACATTCGTGGAGTGGCTTAGCAGTGCCAGAAGCCCTGATAGCTTTATATGAGCTCCGTTCATATGGCTCTGATTGTCAGCGGCTGGGGCACGCAAGCATGTTCTACGCAGGCCTGGGAGCAGTTGAGGACGGGGCGCTGGACTGGACGGACTTTCGGTCCAGTCTGTTGTGGTTCTTACCAGATTCCTCTTGATCTGAAGCTCAATCCAGACAAGAGGGAGGTCCTGTTGGCGGATCGGGCTTCGGGGAGGGTGAATTGAACCTAGTCCTGAATGGGGTTGCACTCCCTCTTAGGGACAAGGTCCGCAGCTTGGGAGTGCTCCTCGACCCAGAGCTTTCACTGGAAGCCCAGGTGATGGCGGTGGCGAGGAGCGCTTTCTTTCAGCTTCGGCTGACTTCTGTAACGTCTTGACTTCTGTAATGCGCTCTACGTGGGGCTACCCTTGAAGATGGTCTGGATACTTCAGTTGGTTCAGAATAGAGCTGCCAGGCTGCTGACGGGGACTGGGCGTTATGTTCACATGACTCCAGTCCTCTGTCAGCTTCACTGGCTTCCCATTGAAGTCCGGGCCCAATTCAAGGTGTTGGTGATCACTTATAAAGCCCTAAATGGCTTGGGTCCTGGCTACCTGAAGGAGTGCTTATGTCCATATATGCCCGCTCACCCCCTGAGATCAGTGGGAGAGGCCCTTCTCCGGGAACCCTCCGTGAAGGAAATTAGGAGGATAGGTACTTGGAGGAGGGCTTTCTCTGCGGTGGCGCCCAATCTATGGAATGCGCTTCCCAGAGAGGTCCGCCTGGCGCCGTCGTTATTTATTTTTCTGCGCCAGGCCAAGACCTTTTTATTCAAATGTTATTTTAATTGTTAATATTATTTATTCATTTTATTCTTTGGCCAGGGCGACTTAATTTATATTGTTAATTTATATTATTCTATTTTGAAGTTTGTTTATGGTTGTGAGCCGCCCCGAGGCTTTGGCGAATGGGGCGACATAGAAGTCTCCTAAATAAATTAATTAAATAAATAAATCTGCACTCCAAACTTAGCTAAGGGTCCTGGCAGCTCTGCGGCAGAAGATCGCCATGGAACGCCACGTGCCTGCCATCAGCTGGGCTGAAGAGGCAGCGCGCCCGGGGAGGGCAGCATGCAGGCCGATGGACGGGGCGGCTTTCAAAGGGGGCTGGACAAATCCAAGCTGGGGGGCATCGCCGCCTTTTGTGGCAGCGAATTCCATGCAATTTGTCACACAATCCACTGTGAATCCATTTCTGTGCACCTCTGCCATGTCTCCCCTCGCTCGCCTTTTTTTAAAGCTGTACTGTCCCAGATGTAACTTTTCCTTGTAGGGGAGGTGCTCCAGCCCCTTGATCATTCCAGTTATCTTCTCCCGCTCTACGCTTCCCAGCTCTGGCATACCTTCTCTTCGATGTGGTGACAGAAAACTGTACACAGTATTAGCACAATTGTACACAGCCTAAAGATAGAAAAAGCACTGCTAATGTTGTCATTGACTGTTCAAGAGTCATTAATTGCTCTTCCAAATTGTGCTCTGAAGCCGAAGGGTAACTCAAAATAAGCGGTCTTACGCGATGCTCGAGTTTTTCGAACGCAAATGTTGCCCAGTGCTGCATGTACAGGCATTCCAAAGAGAAGTGTTGGATGTCTTGGGAACTTTAATGACTGCCGCATGTCTGTAGATCTTTGAAGGCTTTTTAAAAAAAGGGAAAGTAAAGCATGTTCAGTTTGTCGGACTTGCGGTCCCCTGGGTCATCCACCGCCCACCAGCTGGCTCTGCACTTCGCAGCAGAAATATTAGCAAATTCTCTCAGTGCCCACCACTGCTTCACGAATCCATTCTGTGGAGGACAATGAACAATGGAAGCTGTAGCAGTTGGGGTGGCTCTAACCAGCTTACATGTTGAAACGATCTGTGCTCGTCTTGTTCTGGTGTTTTTGTGAGGATTCCTAATTCGTGTCCATTAGGGATCTTCCTAGTCCCAGTTATACCAAATCCGCTTCGTATTTCTGCAGGCATCGCACATGACTAGTTAGAAGCATAATACTCAGGAAGTGGTTTGAGCAGCTCAGTTTTTTGGGCTACTTAAATATTTATATTAAATGTTTTTGTTTTGATTAATTGGAATGGTTTGATGTGATCATTTCCACATTTGTGAGTAACATGGAAAGCTGTAGAAAAATCAGGATATGATCGTTGCTACCACAGCTGTTCTAACTTCTAAAAATATCCAGTGATGTGACTCTCTAAAAATGATGTCTGGATTTGGTGCAGGCAGCAAAGACTTCAATAAATGTAAATATATGCTTTCATAGATATTTGATTACAGTCTTATATATCAGGAGCTTGTTGCCCATTCCGCTTGCTTGGGCTCATCTTGCTCCCCATTTCCCCTGTATTTAAAGAGGCTAGTCCCTGTGGTGGTACAGAAGGAAAGAGACATGAGCAGGCGGGCAGATGCAGTCTGCCTCAACAGCTTGAGATGATTGCGATGCACCCTCGGTCCAGTGGCAGTCTGTGTGTGGACATGTTTGGATCGATCTGAGAAATGTTCTCAGCAACGTTTCCCCCTTTGCTCCCTTCCCTGTGCATTGATTCAGATATATGAGATAAACCGAGTTTAGATGCCAGAAGCCTGGAGTGCATCTGGATGGAACATTTTACAGGAGAATTTTGAACTCCCTGCAAATTGGGTTATGTAATGGGACAGCTGGTTTTCACATACGGCGTGGTGCTGCTGGCTGACACTTTTCTGTGTGTGTGTTTTTTAAAGTGTATAACTCCGTCAGAAATGTGTTGGTACATTTACATAACGGCTTGCACATTTTTTTTTCTTAAAAGGAAAAGGGCAGCATAGATGGCTTTAACTTGTACAATTTATGATGAGACGCAGCAAAAGCAAACACTTGTGCAGGTTCTTAAATTCACTTTTCAGGAACCTTCGAACAGAAATGGTCCCAATTTTACTTCTTCTGTTGACTTTCAAACACCTGTGATTTACACTGCATAAAAGGACTCTCCACCAGAATATTAAGTCAGCTAAACCCACATGAAAAAATATTTCGTTTAGAACTAGACTGAGCAGAAATGAAGTGTGCAACTGAATTTATGTATGTTTGTTCAGACACGTGTCTCCCTAGCTTCATCTGTGCTTAGAACTGCAGTCTTAGCCATCACTACGGGAGCTGAGGCTTACTTATCCTCTAACCTCATACAAAATCCCGGAATAAAACCGTTCTGGGTAGAAGTGGCCTTAGAAGTAGAGATATCTCTTGGACATTGCTGTTATATGGTGCACTGTAGCAGCTGGCACCCCGTAGCCTCAGATGTAGCACGGCCAATCTCTTAACTAGGATTGTGGGGGTCAAGAGAAGGCTTGTGGAGCTCCCATTCCCAAAAATGAACATTCTCAACTTCTACTGCAGGCGATGGGTAAACTGGTATTGGTGTTAACCATGGGAAAAGCTGAAAGCTATCATTAAGATGGCATAAAAATCAAAGAGTGTGTGGGTGAATTTCTTGCCATAATTAGAATAATGGGATTTATGCCAATTTGGTATATCTTCCCCATTTATTCCCGATGCATTTTAATTTAGATTTCTGATAGTCCCTATTTCTCTTAAAATTTTTACTAATGTCCCTACATAAAGTAACATTATAGAAAACATTCCAAGGTAACATTATAGAAAACACTTGATCTTGATAGAAAAGCAGCATTTCTTGTTTTCTCTCTCTTTCTATTACTAATAATGGCAATATGGAGATAGATCACAGTCAAAAGCAGTTGGAAAAAGCTTCCTGCTGAAAAGCATAATGTATATTTGAAAGTTAGAAGTGAATGAGAATAGCACATAGTGAACAAGTTCTCTTCCTTTCATGCAGCCCAATGCCCAGGACAAATAGCCAAATATGAATGGAAAAAAGTCTTTGTTGCAGAAGACAGCAGGTTCTGCTAAAATCTGCTGTTTTCAGATTTGATTTCCAGGCACAAGTGTGTTTATTTTCCTGGCTTGTCCTTCAAGCAATGATTCTTGTGCCTGTTGATATTTTCAGGGCTTTGTTTTACTATTTTTATTCCCCCCAGCCCACCCTCCTCACAGTCCCATTTCAGTTATGGTGTTGCCCATCGCAGAGGCTTCGGGAGTGAGAAAGAGGGTTGCCTTTGGCACTGGGTCTCGAGGAGTGCCGCCTGGGATTCATCAGAACCCGAATCAGGATGTGGAGCAGAATGGGAGGGAGCTGGGAAGCTGGGCCGTGCCAAGAGATTCCCCAGGTGGACAGGCCATTCCTGGGAATAATCAGGATGCACAGCTGGTAGGAGGGTACCCTGAGTATGGGCATCTCTCAAGCACAGACAAGGCCGCCCCAGCGTGGGCAGAGCAGGGCGGCCCCGTGAGAGGACCAGGGTGTGGAGAAGAGGTGCGCTTGCTTTCAGAAAGCCCGCCCCAAAGGGATGGGGCCCAGGCATGCTCATACGGAGAGTTCCTGGTGGGGAAGACCAGGTGGGCTCCAAAAACCACTCTGTGCTTGCTCAGAGATTCATGCTTTTCGGGTGATTTGTGCCTTTCGGTCAATAAAGAACACTTGGCAGCCACAGTCGATGGCCTTTGCATGGTCGAAGGAGGAACCTCAACTCCTGATGGTCTTGTTCCACATGGTCAAACACCTTCCGCTCCCTTAGACCACCAGACTCCTGCTTATCCCATGGGTGGGGAGACAAGTCCTGGCAGGTGTGAATTGGCAGTATCAGTACCAGCAAATGCATGTTGGAAATGTCCCCCGAGAAGTGTGGGTGGAGACTGGAAATGCATTTGGCGCTGTTTGCAGTGAAGCGGGTGGGCCTTTGGGTGCCTTCACCCAGTTCAGTGGCTTGGAGGCAGTCGTTCTGACTGGGTCCTGGTTTTCGGCTTCTGCAGTGCTTGCACTGAGAAGGCTTTCCCCACGGATTAGTTAAAAAGAACGTTATAAAAAGAGTGATACAGAGTAGATGGTCTGGTTAATTCATTTCCTGGATGTTAAATATATAGTTGGTTAAATCTGAGTATAGAAGCTATATAGATTTAGTAATTGAGGGATTGCGCTTTAGACTATATTTGGAATAGCAAGAAACAACGTGAAATTTGGCTTCTTTTTCTCTTGGCAAAAATGAACTAACCTTTCCAAACCATATTCTGCTCTTTGTCATCTGCATTTTTCGGTTTAAGTTTGTGCTCCTAGCTTGAGGCAGATGGGTGATTTGGAGTGGGTTATAGTACCAACTTAAAATGTATGCAACTATTTGAAATGCCTCTAATTGCATCTGAGCAAAATTGCTTTGCCTTTTGATGGGATCATGCCTGTCCCAGTGGTTCTGTAGCAGATGTCAGTGAATGTCATAGTTTTCCTATTCTGTCCTATTTAATTTAAACATGATTATTTATTAAATGTATATTTCATGCTAATAATCCCATAAGATTGTGTTTTATGGACAGTTTTATTTCACCTTTGGAAGAAGATACTGTAAATGATTTTTCCCTAATAGTGTTACATGTTATTTTCTAGGAACTAGCAAGTTGTGGATGGAATAAGAAAGAAAAACACATTCTTGCCCCAAATATTGTTGCCTTTACACGGAGGTTTAATCAGGTAAAGATTCTAACTGGAGTTCATTAAGAAAAATTGTCTGCCTGGAGATTGAATGGTAAATGTTCTATGAGGTAGGATGCTGGCTGTGTCTGACTGTTTTTAGCAGGTGTATATGATGCAGGAGTGATTGATAAGAAGGGCAAATGTGAAAAGTTGGACAGAAACCCATTTGCTAATTGCAACTGATTATTGTACAGCAGCCAGATGCAAAAGATTTGAGGTTGTTTTGCAGAATCATAGTTCATGATGAATATTAATACTAAAACTGATTTCTTTCCCACTAGGATATTTTTATGATTCAAATAATTAAGTTTCTCCTCCAGTTAAGATTAACTATGTTACTAGGCTTTCCAAAATAACTAGAAAACTGATGTAATTCTTTTTTTTTTAATCTTTTGCTTTTTAAATTTATTTTTTACAACTGAGAAAAACACAATAGCACAATAACAACGTCACTGATCAAACAACACATCAACATCAGTGCTTCCTCCACCAGGACCAACAACTCTAGTTAATGTAATATCATTTATTCATTCAGGTTGCCCCGCTCCCCTTCCAGAACTGCATTGACTCTTGTGGTGGTTCACGCCCCTTTCCTTTTATCAAAACGTATTCAAAAAAAGGTCTCCAAATATTTTCAAATTTATTTTCACTTGTCAAACCTTTTTCCATTTAATATCACAAGTTAACTTATCATTAATAGCTATATTCCAGACTTCTTTATACCAGTCAACTATATGATATTCACCTTTTGTTTTCCAGTTCCTTGCTATCATTAATCTAACTGTTGTTAATAAATTTATCATCAATTCTTTAGCATTTTGTCCCATCTGTTCTCTAAATAATGATAATAATGCTAATTGAGGGTCAACTTCAATATTTAACTTCAATATATTACCAATTTCTTTAAAAATCCTTTCCCCAAAATCATTTATATATTTACGCTACTACCACATATAGAAATATGTACCCACTTCTTGGTTGAATCTCCAACACATGTTGGAATATTCATTATTCATGTAATTCAATTTAACTGGAGTTAAGTACCATTTCCAAACCAGTTTATAAAAATTCACTTTATTCCATTCTTCAGCACTAATATTTCTTTTTAAATCTGTTTCCCAAGACTCTTTAAGAGGATCACAGCAATCTTTCTCTTCTAGTAATATATTGTAGATTTTATTTGTCATTCCTCTCACCCACATATTGTCTTGTTTTTCTTTCTGTAAAATGATATCTTCAAATTTAGTATATTCTCCCACTGTAGTTTCCTAAATTCTGTTAAATGTATTTTATTCGGATCCATAACTGGGTCCTTTATTGTTAATAAGGTATCATCCACAAATAAGCTAATCTTAATGTTATTCTCAAATCCTGTGCCGTCTATTACATGATCATTCCTTAATGTTATTGCTTTGCACCCCATGAGGAAGTACCCCCTCACACATGGGAAAATGGTCCTTTGCTTTGGGGTTCGCTGCCCCTGCCCCAGTCTTTGATTCAGAAGGCATCCTTCTCTTCTCTGGCTGTGGCAAAGCTTTGGCAGGGTTGCCCTGTTCTCTTAGATTCATTGTTGATGGACTTTTTAAAACTGAAGCGAAACCTGTGTGATTTGTTAAATTAAGGCCTATGTATCTATTATTTATAGGTCAGTTTCTGGGTTGTACGAGAAATTTTGACAGCACAGACCCTAAAAATACGGGCAGAAATATTGAGCCATTTCGTGAAAATAGCAAAGGTAAGTTTGTTGCTTTGAAATGGTCTTTCTCTGCATATTCTTTCTTTTTCACAGCTACGCATCTCTTGTACTGTTGAAGAAGAAAATATCTAGGAACTAGGGGTAAAGCCACCCGCAGAAAAATCATTTATACCTGTATAGATGGCTCGTACAAGCAGGCTCTGGCTACTACAGCTTTTTCCAAAAGGATTGTCTGCTTTTGTGTTGCAACCTTTAGCATTGTTTCCACTTGAGGGATGCAGCGTTGTGAAGGCTGTACCACAAAAGCTAAGTAAACAAAGAGAAACTCTCACTCGCTGGTTGCACAGACATTCGTTCTGCTAAAGCAGTTTTCGACATAAGCACCTTTGGCAGCTGCGTGTCTCCTTAGGGTAATCTCTGTCAAATTTGTGGATCAGATTAGATCCATGCATTCCTCCTGGCAAGAGCATTCCAGATCTGTCAAGTTGGACGGGACTCTTGGGAAGGAGTAAGTCCCAAAATGACAGGTTCTTTATGGGATTATGATCTGGACTTGGACTGGGCCATTCAAGACGCCGAGGTTCTTATTTTAAACTGCTCCAGTGTTACTTCAGGTGTGTGTTTAGGGGCATTGTCCTGTGGGAAGGCAAACCTCCACCAGTCCCAGGTCCCTTACGGACCAAAAGACATTTTCCTCTAGAATCGCCCTGCCTTTGGCTGCGTTCCCCTTGCCCCAATCCTGAGCAGTTTCCAAGCTCCCACCAAGGAAAACAGCCCTTCCATGCTTCGCTGTGCCAAGGGCACTCCTAAAGCAGCGAGCACGGTTGACTCGCACCGAACGCTGCGTTTGGCAGTGAGGCCAAAAGATTCATAGGGGTCTCATCAGGCCAGGACAGGGAACCTTCTCCACATGTTTGCTGTTCGCACCCACATGCCCCTTTTGCAAGCGCCAGACAGGATGGGACATGGGCGGGCATGCATTTTGCCGATGGGATATCCTGCCATGGTGCTGCATCGGCCTGGGAAAGCAGCCGAGATCAAGTCCGTGAACACTCAGGGACGCTCGTGGGAATGCTGAGCTGTTCTTGTGCAAAGTCCTCAAAGCCCACAAGCCTCATGTGCGGGTGGCATGCGCGCAAACAGGCCTTTCCAGGTATGCCTAAATAACAATCACGCTCCCTTCTCGCTGGGCGCCAGGCAAATGCTCCCCCTTTCCCCAGTGCGGTGGGTTTTCTCTATTTAAGTGGGTAAGTACTTACTCCTGTTTTTTATTTTCTAAGAACATATGTTCTTGTTTTAGTTTTACTTTTATTTATTTGTTTGTTAGAATTTGAGCCATGCTTACATGAAGAGAGGTTGTTTTTTAGCCAAGTTTAGAGAGATGATTATATGCTTTGAATTCCAAATTGTCTGATTTCCTGATGTTTGTCAATTGTACTAATTTGCCTCTTGATTTAAAGCTTCTGCACCTACCAGTGGACAAAAATGTTATATACTACTGGTAAATTTTAATTTGACATGAGAATACTGAATCTCCAAGGGAAAATGGAAACAGATCCAAACACTTAAAGGGCTAAAAAAGGATATTCAAAGGCTCCTTTGGAGTGAGGGCAAGCAATTACTATCATATTTATGATTTTTAAATGAGAGGACTTCCAAGAATCCAAGAATAAGAGGTTGGTAAAACCCTCTGCTTGGCTCTCAGCCTCTCTGCATTCATAAGTTGCTGCTTTTTTTGAGCATGAGATGACGCTTGTAGTTTATGGAAATGGTTCCTTCTTCACAGTACAAGTGAATGCTGCTATTAATGCTATCAGTGATGATAACTCAATCGATCTAGATCAGCCATCCCCAGCCTGTTGGCTCTTCGAATGTGCTAGACTGCAACTCCAATCTGTACAAGTCAGAATGGCCATGCTGACTGGGGATGATGGGAATTGCCATCCAGTACATTTGGAGGGCAGCCAGGTTGCAGAGGTGGATCTTGAGTGAGCTAACGCAAGTAATTTCTCGAGCTCTTCTGTGTATTGGTGCACTTTCTGAGATGGAATTGTCTGAGTTCAGAGGCTTCCAAAACTCCTGAGCACCACCAGGTTGCTGCCAGCAACCTCCTGACTTCTTTGCTTCGCCATGAAGGCGAACAGAAGTGTGTAAGCGAAGCAGCAATCAGCCTTCTCTGTTAGGAAATCCATTTCTCCTAAGCCTGTCCAGCAGTAACTTTCGCAGCTTGAGCAGTGTTATCCCTTACTATCAAAATCTCTGTTCACTCTCAGAGATTTTCCCACAGAATCGGAGGCCCCTTTATGTCAGCTGGAAAAAGATCTGCAGGAATAAAACCAGGCTGTTTGTAAGGCTACCAGCAAAGCAAAAAAGCGCAGATGCCTCCGACCACACAATTGTGGCGTTGCTGTACCGCACACTGCCCATTACGGCTGAATTCTTGCTCGGTCAGAGTGCAACTTCACAACTTCAGGGGGAACAGGCAAGCCCCCCCCCACAGGTGTTCTTGTTGCTGCTTCAGAATCGCCCGTTTAAATATTCCTCTATACTATCACAAAGGTGTGCATTCATGAGAGTTGCATTCAGTGCTTATTTCCTACTTGTCCCGCAGGCATTGAAAGCAGTGCACCCCATTTCCTTGCATCTGGTCTTCACATCTTGTAGTTTCACTTCACAATGAGGCATTCAAATCTTCTGGGTGTTCTATAATTCACAATACAAAGAGCAAGCCCCTGGAACATCTATTACTTTGTGGAGTGAGCCGAGACATTCCAATCCCATATGGAAAACTGACGGGGTTTTGTTCTTTCTTTTTCCCCTGCAGAAACTTCTAGAACTGAACAATCTCCACTCCCTCATGTCTGTGGTATCAGCCCTGCAAAGCGCACCTATTTTTAGGCTGACAAAAACCTGGGCAGTAAGTTATTGTGGCTTGATTTTTCGTCTTTCATCTCTGAGGTGCTAGATCTGGAATAATTTCAAGTTATTTGTGTGTGGAAGAAGTTATTTGTGCTTCAGTTTCCTCAAGCGGGAATGCGGCTCTTGTCTGCTATGCTCCTTTCCCATACAAAGTTAGACAATTCGCCCAGGCCTCTGCGTGTGCCATTTGCCAAGTGGAAATTGGGTGTTTGAGAAATGAGCAAAAGCACTTTTGCCTTGTTTCCAGGCCTGCCAGGGGTGCTTGGCTGCAGACATCCAGTGGCATGACGCTGCAGCAAGCTCGGGGATTCTGGGGTTATTTCAGGACTTAACGGAGTAAGTTGTTTAGAGACTGCCGTTAGTATATGTATTTTGGAGCAGGGCAGATCGTATTTCAACTGGCTAAATCAATTTCTTCTGTATACCCGTTTAGTGAGAGAGTAGCGTTTACATTTTGAGAAACCAAAAGAGCTCTCTGCTCGTTATGTGCAGCTTTTCTGGTTGGTTTTGATTTGTTTGAAGGAATGTGTGCTCACTTTCACCCACGTTTTCCACCAAACGTTATTCATGCACTCTTGGTCATGAAACAGGCAAGACTGTATCTGGTTACAAATTCTTTCTGCAGCTTTTGCTATACTGCGCTCATTAATTGTGTGGAATCTGTCTTATATTGGTTCTGCAGTCAACAGTAATGTAAGCTGTTCACCATTTTCATTTTCAGTGTCAGAAAGGCTAACATAATGGAACATGTGCTCGTTCTGTACTGTAATCATGAGTAGTCCTACTGACTACTAAAATTTTATGACATTGTCCCAAAGTGTCAGCTCTGACATGTCCAGCTTCCTGTCTTTTAGGATTTCTTTTAAATTTCAGATTCCTACCTTTTACCTTAAAAAATAAAAAGCCTCAAGTGACATTGTAGCTGAAATATGATGTTTAAAAGTTAGTATGCCAAACTATTCTTATGCAGAATAAAACCAACAGTACCCACTATTGTTATGTAGATCTTCTTTGTTTGCACCGTACAGGAAGAATTAAACATAAATAGCCTATGCTTGTTGAGAGCTTATGAAAAGGGCTAGCAATGGGAGCTGCAACATTAAGTAGATAATATACATGGAAAGTGAGAAGGTGAGGTTGCATCTTTTACTCATATCATTACCTTTCGGGTTACATTACATTATTAGCATCATTATTAATACATTATTAGCTTCATTGCACTACATTTAGACCCCGCCTTTCCCCTCTAGCACCTTACACAGTTTTCCTTCCCTCCCTTTTTACCCTCACAACAGCAACCCTGTGAGGCAGGCTAGGCCGGGAGTCTGAGACTGGCCCAGGGATACCCAGTGAGCTTCAGGGCTGTGGGGGGGGGGGGGGACTGGAACCCAGACTCCCCAGGACTCCAGTCCAGCATTCTAATTACTGCGCTCCATAATTTGTGCAGTCACCGAGGACCCATCCGCAAGTCACTGCTGAAGTGGATGCACACCAAAAACCGGGGAGGGGAGGGGAGGGGAGGGGGCAACATCTTCTGCTCAGCCACACAAACCTCTCAGTTACAGATGTTGCGAGCATTTTTGTTGACCTGCACAACTGACAGAAAGGGATGCAGCAGCCCAGGTGCATGCACCCTCCCCCGTGTGGCCCCATTCACCCCATCCCGTTCAGCCACCTTCTCAGGACCACTGTTGTATTAAGCTGCCAGGGAACTGCAGTGGCCAGAAAAGTGGGCTGGGGGGGGCAGTTGAACCCCTTCTGGACTAGTTGGAGACTCGGAGAGTGTTGACATGGTGGAGGTCACTGAGAAGCGTCAGTGCCACACTCAAAGGTCACGAGGATTCCTTTTGCAAGCGGGTGTATCTTACTCTGCTCCCCCTGCCCCCAGCTTTATCGGTGCTTTTCAATGGACAACTCAGCACCCGGTCCCCGGCAAGTGTGTTCAAGTCGCATGTATGCTACCTGCTCCACTGCACTGCTTCCTGTGACAGCTCAGACAGATAGCAGAATGGGCCAAGGGCACAATATACTGGACCTCTGTAAGGGTGCACTTGCCAAAATAATTTTAAAAATTAGGAACACATTTGTGCAGTTTCCTGGGGCTGGAAATAGAAAAAGTGGAGGTACCGACACCGGTGGTAGGGAGAGTGAGATGGCAAAGAGCTGTGGGCGGGGAGCGGCTGTTGCTCTTGCTAAGCCTAGTGGAATTGCCCCCTTGCCTTTGGGTGCCACCGCAGCCCTGGGTGGATGGAAGGATCTTTGCAACAAGCCCTGCGCTGAAAGGGTGGCTTGTTTCTGAAAATTAAGCTACCCCGTGGGAACCTGCCTGGATTCCGACACTGTAGCTACACGTTATAGCTAATTGCCCATCATGGGTCATCATCGAACCAGCTTGCACAACCTGGCTCCCCAAAGTTGATTAATTTTCCTGCTGGGCTAGCTCCTAAGATAAGCCACTAGGTATTTGTGGGTTGTCTGCTCCTCGGCCCACCCCCCTGTAACCTGGGTTCATAGAAGCCGCAGGTAGTTGGGCATCATGCACAATGAAGCAGCCCCCATGGTATCAAGTCATCTGTTGGGCTGTCCTGTCATGGGAACCAGGTCAGGGAAAAAGATGAATCTTTCTGTCTTCGCAGTGGCTGGGATCTAACCAGACACCCCCCTGCCCCCTCCCCCAGTTGTGTGTCTCCAGCATGCGCACATGTAGTGTTGAGATACAAGGCTTTGTGGCACATACAGAAGAAATATCTTGAACTCTGTTGAGATCTGCAGTATTTCCATTTATATTGCCAACCGGTAACCTGCAGGCTTTTGTTAGCATCTCAGTACACTTGGGGTAACATTAAGGCACTCTGTCCATACTGTGGAGACACTGATGGACTGCTGAGTTGGAAGTATTCTAGTTTGTTCAGAATGCTCAGACTGCTGTGCTTATTTTGCAGGTGCGTAGATCATAATCCTCATCTTGAATTATAAGCAAAAATCTGTATAGAATGCTGTAGAAAGGCACTGGTATAAGCAGTTGGAGCCCCGTTATCTGCTACTGCATGTCGAACATTACTGTTGGTTATGAAAAGATCTCTCGCTCTTAAAAGACCTCTCTAGTAATTCTTTCATAACTTCTTTATAAAATGCTCACTTTTGCAATTTCCTTAGATACATTTCAGAGTCTCGATACTTTATTTTTCCACCAACAGAAATGTCTGCCACAGTGACAGTTGGGATATGAGGTTTGTTGGAAAATCCATGTTGGTTCTGTCATTCGGAGAGATCATATTTGCTCTTCGTTTTCTAAACCTCGCTTGACTCTATTGCATAGTTTAATCAGCAAGTTGTTTTGTGGATTCTGTATGTGTGTTTAGGTCTATGTCCACAAGGGAAGAAATGGTGTTAGTGCTGCTTTATGTTTGTTTATAGGGTGCTTTTTATTCTAATATATTTTCTCTGGATGCCTGACCAAACATCTTTGTATTTGCACAGTAGTTGCCCTTCACTCAAATATATTTAGACATTTGGTTTTGTTTTTTGGTTGCAAGTAGCTGTAACAGCTCCAGGTGATCACAGAGACGAAGAAGAGCCAATGTCCACTTGGATAAAAACACTGTTGGTTTTGGACGGAATGCAAAATTTGAAGGCTGTGGGGTTTTTTTTAAAAAAAAAAAAAAGCTTGAATTGAGTGTTTTAAAACATGTGACCTGAAAGGAACAACTGTATTTTCAAACGGAGCAAACTTATTTCCAGAAGGATTGATCCTGTACTACAAAACTGTGAATTGCTGCTGCCTTCTGTTTTCTTTGTAACAGCAGATTAGGAAAATTCCAAAATCCATATTAGGACAGTAACTTTATTCGGCCAACCTAAAGGAATAATTCCACCTAAAGTGAAGCTCAATTTTCCACAGATGGGACATATGACAAAAAAGTGCTTAAAATTTGCTTTTGAAAATCAGCTTTCAGCAATTACTTTAAAATACCCACAGTGCTGTCCTGTGTATGTGCGTTCAGGCATAAACCCCATAGGACTGATTTCCAGCATCTGTGCAGAGCCTTAGAAACTAACTCCTGTTAATAATTTTAAGGCAAGAAGGTTAAATATACCTATTTTTTCTATTTTCTCAAACTATTAGTCTGCATAATTGTAAGCAAGAGATGGTAGTAATAATTAGCAAAATCAAAATTTGAATTTTTTTTCCAAGCAAATTTATTTAGAGATTCTCCACTCCAACTTATAGAGTGTTCAAACTATAAATACTCCCCACATGGCTCCGTTTTGCTTAAGCAGTCCCAGCAGGATCAGTGCAACCTCTCTTAAATAGATTTCACTAGCCAGCTACCATTGAGAATCAGCTTTCGTTCAGATGCAAGCCAAAATTTGTCTTTCCTGAAATTGCAGACCTCCGATATAAGGCACTGTCCTACAGGTGAAAATAGTCATCAGTTATGCCATTCATAGCAAGACATGCCTCACTGTTAAAGCAGTCCCTCCTGTTGTTGGTTGGCCAGTCAGAAAGAGCTGTGGGAACTCAGGAAAAAGAAAGGGGCCTACAGACTGTTGTTTGGATCTCCAGAAGACCCCATGAAACTACCATCTTCTCCTTGTGACAGTCACCGTACGTTCCAAGAATTAGGTTCCCTACTCACTCCTTTTCAGAGACATCAAGCCCATTTTGAAGCCTCTTGCAACGGACCAGTGAGCTTTTACTGTGTTCAAATGGGTGACTAGTTGTCCAGGTAATCATGCGGTTATTTGGGTCGCTAAGATGCCGTTTCACCGTCTCCAGTAGTTCGCTTTTTCCTGGCTTTTCCACAATGCAGGGCAAGTCCATGCTACTACATGTAAACTTTTACAAGTATTCATAAACAACGTCTGTATATTATGACATTTCAGCCACACAAAGGGCACAAGCCCGTGCATACTGTGACTGAAAAATGTTGTGTAAGTCTCAGCATTTCCCAGTCAGCCATATTGGCTGGGGGACAGTTTAAACATGAATTGGAT